CAGCGGCCATGGCTCACGGGCCTAGCCGCTCCGCGGCATGTGGGATCTTCCCGGACCCGGGCATGAGCCTGTGTCCCCTGCATCGGCAGGTGGACTCTCAACCACTGCGCCACCAGGGAAGCCCTAGATATATTTTTAAATGTTCTCAGTGGTGTATTTGCTTAAAAAGTGTGAATGAAGTTTATTGAAATGACAGTGAATTTATTGTGTATTCTGTGGGATATAAACATACATGTTATCAGTTATAATGCTTTATTCTTTGGTTCATTCTCATGTATTTTGCAGGTCCTTGCCTCATGGTATTCGATCAGATTTAGCAGATATCTGTTTATTTACCAAAGATGAACCTAATTTAACTCCCGAACAGACAGAACGTTTTTATAAGAAGCTTTTGAACAAGCATGGAGTTAAAACCATTTCTCAGGTAATGAATAGCTGTAACTGACCAATGCTAAGCTGTCCATCATGGTAGCAGCTAGCCACACATGGCATTAAGCACTCGATACGTGGCTAGTCAGAATTAAGATGTAACACAAATACTGTATCTTAAGGATTTAATATGGAAAAGGAATATAAAATAATTTCTATAAATTACAGTTAAATATGGTATTTTAGATCTATTGTGTTCAATAAAATCTGTTATGGGAAAAAAAAACATTTCTCAGGTAGGGAGCAGGTTAATATTTTCAAGACAACTAAAAGATTGGATTCAATTGAAGTGACATTCCTGGTACATATTTCTCTCCTAGGAATTTAATTTTTAACTTAATTTTCTCTTTTTAATTTAATTCTCATTGGCTTTAGGTAGGGCATATTCCCTCTTCCCTGTGACAGATGGGCTGTTGAGGTATGTTGACCTAAAAGCTCAACACATGCATCAGTAATGATTATATCTTGAAGATTTTACAGAACGCTGCTCCGTTGTGTCACTTCTCTCTCCTTCCAGAGCATCCTGGGTTTGCCTCTGACTTGGCACCCCTCCCCCTCTTTGTAGTCATTGGTTGGGTTTCTTTAGCTGAGGGTCCTGACTCATTTGCCCCTGTGCCTGTGCTGTTTTAGATACTCACATGTTCACTAAACTGTGACCCCAGGGCATTTTAAAATTCAAATACAAATTGCCCCAGTATTTCTTCTTGTTGTTCAGGTTCTTAAATTTTTGTTTTTATACCGTTTTTTCCTTTCTCTCTCTTTTTTATCGAAGTTTAGTTGGTCTACAATATTGTTAGTTTCAGGTGTGCAGCATAGTGATTCAGGGTTTTTTGTTTATTTCTCAGATTATATTCTCTTATAGGTTATTATAAGATATTGGGTATAGTTTCCTGTGCTATACAGTAAATCCATGTTGCCTATCTATTTTATGTATAGCAGTTTGTAGCTGTTGATCCCAAACTCCTAATTTGTCCCTCCCCTCCCTTTGGTAACTATAAGTTTGTTTTCTATGTCTGTGAGTCTGTTTCTGTTTTGTATATAGATTCATGTTTTTACATTTTCTAGATTATCCCCCTCCGAACTTTAAAAAAGGAATATAAAGCCTATGAAGCTAAGCTCCGCCTCTTGGGTAGTTTCGACTTCTTCATTACAGACGCCAGAATCAGGCGGCTCTTACCCTCACACCTCGGGAGACATTTCTACAACAGAAAGAGGTAAGTTTCTCAGCAATGACCGGACTTTAGTAGCGTGAAATTTATGGGTGTGTATGTGCTGCTGTAAATGCCTTTGTATTGTTTTAGAGTTCCAGTACCTGTAAACCTTCAGGCCAAGAATTTATCCAGAGAGATCAGTGACTGTGTAGGGGGAACTGTCTTAAACATCTCTAAAAGTGGTTCTTGCAGGTAGGTGAAAGGTGTTAAGGTGTGCCTCTGTTTCATTTTATATTTAATAATGATTTTATAAACTTCTTAAAATAAGATCGTATTAATGAAACCAGACTCTTCTGTTAAAACTAAAATTCATTCTTTAGAAGTATTCAATTCTCTAGAACAGTGCTGCCCCTTAGAACTTTCCAAAGTGGTGGAGATGGTCTATAGCTGTGTAGTCTCATGCAGAAGAATGCGCCACAGATGGCTGCTGAGCACTTGAAACATGGCTTCCACAGCTGAGTATCTGAATTTCTAACTTTACCTGATTTTAACTAATTTAAATTTTAAAAGGCACATCTGCTGATTTTTACTGTACTGGATGGGCACCCTTTTTTTTAAAAAATTTTTTGGATGTGCCATGCAGCATGTGGGATCTTAGTTCCCCAACCAGGGATGGAACCCACACCCCCTGCATCGTGAGCATGGAGTCTTAACCACTGGACCACCAGGGCAGTCCCTGTACAGGGCACCTTTAGATGTTCAGGAAAACAGGAGAATAAGCCTGGTTCAGGGTGTACTTGCAGGTCAGTGACAGTGGGCACACAGAATGGGCAGAGCCCCGTCTTTGTCTGGAGGGAGGTAGGAGCATCAGCCCGTCTCATCCTTTCTGCATTTATCCTGCCGACAGCCAGCCTGCCTTTCAGCTCCCATGGTGGGGAGAGTGGGGGCTGCCAGGACCAGCGGACCCAGTGGCTGAGCAGTGGGCACTTTTGGGCTTCCCCTTTGGCTTGCGGCTGCCCTCTGCTTCAGCTGAGGGGATGGTTTTGCTCTTGACCAGAAGATGCTATTACATGAGCAACTGTTTGTTTTAGAGGTGGCCGCTGTGTCAGGGCAGTGGAGCTATAAAGGTAGCAAGCAGTCCTCCTGGGGGTGATCCTTTTCAGAACAGCCACTGCTGGGGGTAATTGCCCTCAGGAAAGCTTGAGGGCTGACTCAGTGACCTGTGTTTTCCAGAATGAAGGTGGAATTCCCTTTGGCCCTCCCCACTGCCCCTCCCAGCCTCACATGGTTAGGTGCCAGCTCCTCAATCACCTCTTGATGGTAGGGCATATTTCAGGAGGAGGGCATTTCTAGAACATGAAGGATGATCATCTTCCTTTAAAATAAATTGAGATCCTAAAGATTTCAATGATTTTACATTAAAAAAATTCTTTTAGGATTGTGTATTTGTATTTCTCACATACCTGCTTATGCTTTACTTTGAAAACCAAGTTATTTTTTCAGCTCTCTGTGTCTAATGCTTTATTAAATTTCAGTACCATCCGCATCGGTCACACTGGGATGCAAGTTCAGCACATCGTGGAAAACGTTGTTGCCGTCACAGAAAGGCTGTCACAGAAACTGCCGGAGGTACGGTCTCGCAGATGCTTCCATTGGCCGTTCGTTTAAAGGAGCAAAACACCTACAAATGATGTTACTCTTCTCTCTGTTTCAGAAGTGGGAGAGCGTGAAGCTCTTGTACGTGAAGACTGAGAGGTCGGTTTCTCTGCCTGTCTTTTCTTCATTTGTCAGCAGTCGTGGTGAAGCCAGGGGACTGCGCACACAAAGTCAGAAGAAAAAGGTTAGTAGAAGTTCACATCCCAGGCAGGCGTAATCAAGGCTGTAAGCGCAGCCCAGGAAGAGAGAACAAAGGCTCAGAAGGGGCCTGTGCAGTGGCAAGAGGAGCTGAGAGGAAGAGGAAAACCGAAATCGAATCTATTCAGTATTCATACATGGTTATTTATGGGCGAAATTCAAGATCCTATGAGGCTGACGTACCTCTTGATTTTGGTTTGTAGGTTTTCAGTGCTGCTGGTAATATTGCAGAAAGCTGCGTGAGAGAAAATGGAACTTTTTGCTATTGGCTGGACCAGTCTCCTAGTTTATTTGGTCTTCAGCCATGTTCATCGATGTGTTCAATAAGTTTTTAGACTCAGTCTTTTAATTTTTTGTCTTCTAGAAGTTCTGTGTTTTGTTCTTTTTCAAATTATCGTTACCTTTTTTTGGTTTCCTGTTATCTAAATAGTCTTTCAGTTTGTCTTAATTCTTAGAACCCATTAAGCATAGTTGCTTTATTGTCTGATAATTCAAACCATTAGCCATCTTGGTGATGCAGCGGGTTGTCTCTGCCTGCTGGTTCCTGTGTACTTAGTTATTGTGGACTGTATCGTGGATAGTCCATTTGGAAAATTATTTGTAGAAGTAACTTGAGGGGTGGGATGAAGATCTTTCCCGAGAGGATTTAGACTTACAGCAGCCAGGCACCTTGGGGCACTCTCAACCCAGAACCACCTAGAAGCACATTCAAGGCTTGAGGTTCCCTGAATGATTCAAATTCACCCACGGTGACAAATCCTCACGGCTCACCCCCCGTTCTTCTCTACCCTGAGGGTCCAACTCATTGGGGTCCCAGCTTATTGTAATGAGGTTTTTTACTTAGAATCCCTGCCTGGTATGGACATTAGGATTTGATTTCTCCACTTCACACCCCTGCCCTCCTGTGCCCAGTCATAACAGCTGTTAAAAGTTAAGGATCAGCAAAAACTCTCGGGGCAAACATTTCTTACAGTGTAATCAGCTCATCAGTGCTTTTATGAAAAAAGTTGTTAATATTTTACCCTACTTTTTACTTGTTTTCATAATCCAAAATAACATAAACTGCTGTTACTGGAAACAAGAAGTCTGAATTTTTTGCTGTTTGTCAGATTTAGTTGAGGGCTTGGTGACAATGTTGGAATTGCTAGTTAAAATGGAATTTTGTCACAGTTATAGATGTTATCTAACAGTACTCTGTGGTAAGGGTAATGGACCTCTAGCTATGTAAACTTGCTACTGTGTTAACTCTCAACCACAAACTCAGGCAGGAAAAAAATATCAGGGTTTTTCGTTTTTGTAGCAGCTTCATGGAGATGTACAGTCACCCATCTCATACATGGGGGGATTAGTTCCAGGATCCCCTCCAAGGATGCCAAAATTTGTGGGTGCTAAAGTCCCTTATATAAGGCAGCATAGTATTTGCACATAAACTACACCACATCCTCTGGCATCCTTTAAATCATCTTTTTTTTTCTTAATATTTATTTATCTATCTATCTATGTATTTAGCCACCTAGCTATCTAGCTGTGCCGGGTCTTAATTGCGGCACGCGGGATCTCCGCTGCCTCATGCGGGATCTAGTTCCCCAACCAGGGATCGAACCCGGGCCCCCAGCACTCCCAGGAGCACAGAGTCTTAACCACTGGACGCCCTTTAAATCATCTTTAGATTACTTAATGCCTAATACAATGTGAGTGCTATGTAAATAGTTGTCAGAGTGCAGCAAATTTAAGCTTCGCTTTTTGGAACTTCTTGGAATTTTTTTTTTTCCCCTTGAATTTTTGTTTTTTTGCGGTACGCGGGCCTCTCACTTTTGTGGCCTCTCATGTTGCGGAGCACAGGCTCCAGACACGCAGGCTCAGCAGCCATGGCTCACGGGCCTAGCTGCTCCGCGGCATGTGGGATCTTCCCAGA